TTTTTCAAATGTAATTGTGGTAAAATATACCAAACAAAATTTCACATTTCACCTTTTTTAAGTGTCCATGTCATTGACATTTAGGGCATTCACATCTTGGGAGCCTAGCACCACCATGCAGTCACAGAATGTTTACATCTCACAAAAAACCTGAAACTCTGTCCCTATGAAACACTGACTCCACATCCCTCTGCCCTCCATCCCTGGGAAGCACCACTGCCCTCCCTGGCCTCAGGAACCTGGTACTGTATGGACCGCGTTTGAGAGGAATCCGTGTTTGTCCGTGTATGAGCGGCTTCTTTTATTTTGTTGTTGAGTTATAGTGAGTTTACAATGTTGGGTCAGTTCCTAGAGTATCGGAGAATTTTTCAGTTATACATGAATGTACATATAGTCATTGTCGCATTCTTTTTCACCGTGAGCTATGACTGGCTTCTTTTTCCAAATTCCCTGGTTAATGTAGTAAGATATGCGTGACCTCTCATTTACCACCTTATCAGTTTCAAAGTGTGCAGCTGCGGGGTAAATACACTCAGAATGTTGTGCCACCGTCACCGCCATCCATAGCTCCAAGGCCATTTCATCTTGTAAAACTGAGACTTTGTCCCCAAAATACTCACACCCTCCCACTTCCCACAGCCCCTGGGAACTCCCTTTCTAGTTTTGTTTTTTCCTACCTTTAGTCTCTAGGACTTGGTTTAACCTGGGTGCCTCATACATGGAGACTCATATGGTCTTTGTCTTTAGTGGCTGTTTCCTTTCACTGAGCGTAGTGTTCTTCATTTTCCCCCACGTTGTACCGCATGTCCGCATTCCCTTTATTTTTCATGTGAATCATATTCCACTGTATGTGTAGACCACATTTTTTTCTTGTTCATCCATTGATAGAAGTTTCGGTTGCTTCTATGTTTTAGCCTTTGTGAAAGGTGCTGCCAGGAACATGAGTCACAAGTTTCTGTTGAAGACTCTGGTTTCAGTGGGGAAGGTACAGCTCAGTGGGGGAGCACGTGTGTGGCATGGGTGAGGTCCTGGGTTCAGTCCTCTCTGTCCCATTAAGTGAATAAATAAACCTAATTACCTCCTAGACAGAAAAGAAAATGCCTTTAAAAAGAAAAAAAAAAAGGTTCTCCTTTCATATCTCTGGGGTCTAAACCCAGAAGAGGAATTGCTGTATCACATGGAAGTTCTGTATTTAATTGTTTGAGGTGCTCTCATACTGTTTGCCCCAGAGACTGGATGCTGTTATTTTTAAGGCCGTGTATAGTCACAACTGGGACATCAGACAAGGATCTCTTCTGTGTCTTAACTGCCAGGAGGATACAGGTTGGTGCCCCCCCCCCAAATACATCCTGGAGATGCCTGCTGGTGTGGCTGTCACAGCCCGCTCTCCCCCCATGCCCACCCCTCGCCCTCCTGGTTTGGGGTCTGATGACCTTGAGACTCTTCTCTCTGGGAGAAGCTCATTTACAACATCCTAGTAACCAGCTGAGTGCCTTTCAGTGTAAAGTCGCTCATCCAAATCAGTTACTCCATTCCCTGTTGTAAGTTAGAATCCGAAATCTGCTGTTATCACTGAGGATGTGTCCACTTCTCTTCAACATTAGCAGTACACGGGAATGAACACATATTTGTCTTGACTTCAACATAAAAGTATTAAAATGATGGGCTGATTTTATCTGTCATCTTTATCCTTAGTTCTGAACCTTCCTGAGTTTGCAACTGATAACTCACTCAGGGCCCTATTTTCCCCCCTGACAAGAGACCAATAGGACTGTCCAGTGAGTGATGCTGGCAGCCTGGCAACGAGGGGCTGAGACCCGTTCCCGTGAGGTCACCCCTGAGGTCAGCGTGGAGGGCAATTCCCTGTGCTGTGCCGCCTGAGGTGCCTGTCTCTGCTAGCCGCTAGGATGACCTCTAAAGTCCCCATTGTCACATGCTTATTTGGAACCTCCCTACCTACTCACACTGTCCTTACAAAAATGGACAACAGGCAGGTGGAGGTGGGTCCCTGTTCTGGAACACACAACTCCTAATGTCCAGCATGTTGGAGCCACACACACTTCCCCACGGGATGGAGAGATGGGGTGGGGCAGGGGTCAGTGGGGGCGG